GAGAGAGAGAGAGATTAGAACAAATTCTAAAGATTAATAGATTCTTTGTTTTAGAGATTGCAGTCTGTTAACCTACCCTGTGATTTCTTGCACCATGGCCAGTGCAGGTTCAATATATTGGGTCTCCATGAATTTGACAGTGATCGAAAGAGAATGTCTGTTATAGTTGGTTGCCCTGACCAAACTGTACGAGCATTCGTAAAAGGTGCAGATAGCTCAATGTTTGGAGTCTTGTCCAAATCCATTAACTCTGACTTGGTTCATGTTACTGAGTCCCATCTACACTCTTACTCATCTTTGGGCCTGAGAACCCTAGTTATGGGCATGAGAGAACTCACTGAACTTGAGTTTCAACAATGGCAATCCGACTATGAAAAAGCCAGTACCTCTTTGATAGGGAGAGCATGCTTGCTTCGTTCAGTTGCAGGAAACATTGAATCCAATCTTAAATTATTGGGGGCATCAGGAGTTGAAGATAAACTTCAACAAGGTGTACCTGAAGCCATAGAATCGTTGAGACAAGCTGGGATTAAGGTCTGGGTTTTGACAGGAGATAAGCAAGAAACTGCCATTTCTATTGGTTATTCTTGTAAGCTCCTTACTAGTGATATGAAGCAGATCATAATAAACAGTCGTTCAAAGGAGGCTTGTAGGAAGAGTTTGAGAGAAGCTAAGGCCTTGGCTGATAGAAACCAGTTGAGGAGAGATGCGCAGGAAACATTTTCTAGTGCACAAGAGCCATTAGCTTTGATAATAGATGGGAATAGTCTGGTTTATATTCTCGAGACTGAATTGGAAATCGAGGTAAACAATCATATCTTCGTCCATTAGAATGCAGCTACAATGAAAGATTGTTAGCGTGTAGACATTGAGACCTCTCTGTTGTTTCTTCTGATTATGATCGACTTGAATTTTATGTTATGCAGCTGTTTGAATTGGCCACAGCATGCGCTGTGGTGCTCTGTTGTCGAGTGGCTCCATTACAAAAGGCAGGCATCGTAGCACTCATAAAGAACAGGACCTATGACATGACCCTTGCCATTGGTGATGGTAAGCATCTCAATTGGTTTAATTAGATTTTGTAGGTTCTGACAAAAGTTTGGGTGTGTGTGTGCGTGTGTGTGTGTGTGTGTGTGAGAGAGAGAGAGAGAGAGAGAGAGAGAGAGAGAGAGAGAGAGAGACA